AAAGCAAGGATTGTTCTTATGTCTTGCTGCTTCAATCAACGAAAAGATAACGCATTTAGCTTTCATAAACTCTTGGATCTATCAAATATGCTGCCTAGCTATCCTTATATGCTCTCACATATGGCCTTACTGAGGACGTAAAATAGAAAACACCTAAACAGATTAACAAAGCATGAATCAACCAATATATCATTGTGTATCCGTAATTGCTATAATCTTAGTGCCTGAACGGTTTTGTATGCATGAAATTAGACCTAGCAAAACACACCAACTCACGTGGTAATCCTGTCGAAAGAACATTTTCATGCAAATGCTTTTGAGCATATTCAGCAGCCAACCGGCCTCCATGTCCATCATAGATTGCGAAGTGTGCACACCTGTAAACCAAGCACTGGGAATTACCAAGAGAAGCTAGATAAATTTCAGAAACATTAAGCATGCACTCAAAGTAGTTGAAATTATGAACCAAATTCTGAACCATGCAGGCCACGAGAAACATGTTGATATATTATTACACATTTACACTTGAAAAAATTGCCCAGGGACAGAAGAATACCGAAAATCTGATCCCCACAAAGAAATAAAAAACTTAATGCATAAAACGGGTCCATCAGTCACCTAATAACTTCAACCATACACTGACTAGCAGTGAATAGATGTTGATAATCATATCGCTGGTAAGTACTTTACTGTTCAGTACGAGAAATTTTGATGCTTCATTTCTTACCCTCCTTGTACTGAAACCAGTAAACAACTAATGATAGGCCTTTTATCACCAAAACACACGCGCGCCGTGTAACTCGAAATATTTTAGTAATGAAAAGAAAAATGAGAAGAAAAACCTCAGTTTTCCAGGATGATCTAAACTGGCGTCCAAAATCACTACCCAGGCATCTTCCATCGTATGCCTAGACCCCTTATCCTCAGCTGCATCCGCCTCAATCTCAAAAGTTAGTTCCTTTGCGTTCTGTTGACCTGAAACAGCTCCTGAGTTCCCTTCTTCACTGCCGGCAGCTTCAGTTCTCGATTTTTTCGCAGTCGGATCATGAGTTTCTGAATAAGCCTCCCGCTTGTGATTAGGGTTTGATTTTGGGTCCTGAGGCTCCACATTTACACTCCCAATTGCACTGGCAGACTGAGACTGCGAGCTTAAGCTCATCTTCAGGGTAGAATATTCTTTGTAAGTTACAGAAAGAAGCGGCAAAAGCCCCAATTATAAAACGACGAAAATACTGGAACCTGTCACGGGCAGGGATTCGGGAATGAAGAAGCCTATAGTATACGAATATACATATGGATGACGCCGAGGTTTTCTGTTTTATTTAATTTTTGGCTCGCAGAATGCGAATTTCTTTAAAATAGAAATTATTAAATTTATTATTAGAATAAAAAATAAAGGCTTATTTTAAAATATTTTCATTTTATTGTCACGGGAACTGATATTTTATTAAATATCTTCTTCCACCTTTTTTGACAAAAGAGAGGAAGTCAGAATTACCTAAGTAAGGTCCCTTCTTGCTATGCAAGGCCATTCGATAAGTCCCATTTGTAAAACATTTTTTTTAAAGAAAAAAAAAAGTAAAAATAAATATTTTTTACATTTTTTATCGTCTTCAAAATAATAATCTCAAAGTACCTAAATTTTTTATTTTTTATTTTTCATAATAATATTTATTTTTTAATTTTTTAAAACATTTTTGAAGACATGTTATTAAATATTTTTTTATTTTTTTTTTTGAGAACAAAAATTATTTCTAAAATACGCAAAACAAGCCAAAAATTAAGACACAATCAGTGTACAGTAAAAGATTTAAAAAAAATCAAATAGCTAAAACTAGTTTATATCTTTGCTTTTAAAAAATAACTAGACACAGCCACGCGGGTTTTACAATGTAATTTGCTGGATACAAATATACAATAATCAAATTGTTAAATATTAAAAGTATTTAAAAGGAATTATTATAAATTGACAATATTAATTATTATTTAAGTCTATTTATTATTTTGTAACATATAATTTAAACAACATTATTATTTAAAACTGTTTTTAATTGTGATTAAGGTGATTTTATTACCTAGCATTATAAGATCTGTCTATAAAAGTAATGCTTGCCACAAGTTCAATGAAAGCCTTGGTACTCTCAGCTTTTCTCCCCTCTTCTATCATATTAATTTATTATGCAGTTACTTGAGTATATTCTATAAATTTTTGTTGTTCTATGTCTCTACTTTTAATATAAAGAGTCTGTTTAATTGTGAAGGCTGTCACACAATTAACTTGATATGATGGAATAGCTCCTAGACTATAATTTTACCTGCTATTGCCAATAATTTTAAGACTATTTTCTAGCCACTTTCCTGATTAATGGCTACAAAAATGACATTCTTCACAACATTTTGGGTTAATTACTACTTGTGTCGGCAAAACTTATTGAAAAGATTGTTGAGAAGGTCTTGAGAAAGCCCATTCGTCCATACTTTACCATAACTTGCATAAATGAACAACTCAGCTTGAGAGGAGCTCACTTTCTTCCAAGTTAAAAGGCTATTCCTATGGTCACTCATATTGGGAATGGAATGATTGATAGGCACGAAAGCTCTCACAAATCGACTTTGAGAAGTCAAATGGAAATACTTTGAATACCAAACCCTCATGTCATGAGGCTAATGAATTTAGTTGTGTTAACTAAGGGATTGTTTTGGTGGTTGGATATGTTTCCAATCTCAAAATGAGTGCAATATCATTGGCCCACCTAATGGTGATTTTGGACCCAGTAGAAGGGTACACTAAGGCAACAGGTTTCGATGATGTTTATGAATAAAGTTGAGTGTTGAGGCACATGTGAGCACAATTACAAATACTCAAATAGGTAATGGTGTATATAATCACCAACAATGCAAAATTGGCCCTAAAATCTGAACTTACTTAAGACCTGATGTGGCAGTGCATTTAAGTGGAACACTCAAAGGATGAATACCATACAAATGATAGTGGTATGTACGTTGAGAACTTCCTTATGTAAATTTTTGAATTACTATCATGGTATATACTTTGACATATGGTAAATAAATTGAGGAATAACTTATTATTCAATCACATTAAGATATCTTCAATGCACAATTACAATTGAAGGTCTTTTTGTGCATATTTTAGGATTTAAAAGTTACAGGTTTGATTTTAATCTTATATTATTACTTTCAAATGTAATAATAATAATGTGCGGATTTTTAGTGGTAGCTTGTTAGTTCATGGTAATCAGTTTTTAAAACAGAATGGTGTTATAGTGGTGTGTGCTTATTATTGAATTTTGACTACTACACCATTATCGTCTGTTGCAATGAACGAATTTACAGTTGGTTCTACAACGAAAGGTTTTGCCTTCGGTTTAGTTAGAGAGAAACTACTATTCAATTGAATGTATATATGTGAAATTTTTTGAGTTTGAGAAATTAGTTTGGCCTTCTTTTGCCCGTTTAAATATTTATATATGTGAGTGCCTGAATAATGCAACAATTATCCGTTTGAACAATTTTTATTTGAAAACTAGTTTCTAATCCCGTGCGTTGCACAGGCATGACCTATATAAATTATTTATATAAATAGATGTTAGAAAATATAAACTTTTAAAATTTCAATTCAATCATGATTTTTACATAGGTTTTAATATAAATTTAATTTAATGTGAAAGATGTTGTTAAGGCAATGAAACATCAAGTCAAAGTAGGAGATTCTAATTAATGAGGATTGCAACTCCTATTGAAGCAATAGATTATAATGACAATAAACAAACCATGGTAGAATAAAGAATTTTGTAATCATTGAAATGTATATTACCACTGAATAGGCAATGACAGTCTCAGCATGAATACAATCTCATTTGATTCTTTTAAAAAAAATGAATTCACTGGAGATTTTGGAAAACTTCCTTAAAAACAACATTTGTTGTGACAGTCTTTGGTTTGAAATCTTCATCATGTATAAGTATTTTAAGTCCATCCATTGATTTGACCCTTAAAAAGCAACATAAAGCTGGCCATGAGAGAAAACAGGCTTAGGTAAATAAACACCAACATTTGACAAAGATTGTCCTTGACTCTTATTTATTGTCATTGCAAATGATAGAACGCATGGAAACTATCTCCTCTTCATTTGAAATGGTAGATTGCATTCATAAGGATTCAAATCCATTTGATGAATGTAGACTTCTTCCCCAGGCTTTGATCCATTAAGTATGATTCCCTTTATAAAGTGGTCTCTCAACAAAGTAACACGAAGTCTTGTTCCATTGCATAGTCCATTAGCTTGATCAATATTTCGCATTAGCATGATAGGAACTCCTACTTTAAGAGTCAATTTATGAGAAGCCAATCTTGAACCTTCAATTGTATTGAGGAATTCAGTATCATAGATGTCGTCAAATGAATCTGAGCTGTAGTCAGTCTTACATACTGAATCTGAACTGAAGTATGTAATAGCCTCACCTAGGAACTATGAGTAAATGAAATTATTTAACTGATCTACTATTTCTAGAGTTGGAGCAAGAATTTCTCTTTCTGTGAAGAATTGTGGCTCATTGTATTTTTCACAAAGCTTTGGATAAATGAAGTCAACAATAGCTTGCAATGGATTAGAGAAGTCAATAATTAACAACTCTTTTAGAATAGTGATATCATATTTACCATTAGATGAACTGCTGTGATCTCTATCCCCAACACTGAGAAGTCATTTTGAAAACTTAGTTATTTTATCCATTTCACAGCTTGATGTTATAGTATATAACCTCATATTTTTTGTGAGCTTAAATATCTTGCATTAATACCAAAGATATGATGAGTTTAAAGATGCATTAACAACATTTGCTCTATCACCCCTAAGCAGTATAGGGAGTATTTGGTAAAAATCACCTCCAAAGACCACAACCTTTCCTCCAAAAATTCTGTCATCATGCATTATATCTTTTATAGTTCTATTAAATGCTTCAACACAATGCTTCTTAACCATAGGAGCTTCATCCCACACAATTAAATTAGTATTTTGTATAAGTGTTGCAATAGATGATCCATGCACAATATTGCAAGTGGAGTCTTCAGTTACATTTATGGGAATACAAAACTGAGAGTGGGCTGTTCTTCCAGAAGGTAGTAATGTTGTTGCAATCCCACTGGAAGCAACATTCAAGACAATCCTTTTTTGGGACCTTATGAATGCAGTGAGAGCATTCCATAAAAAAGTCTTCCCAGTCCCTCCAAAACCATAAACAAAAAAGAATGAACCTTCTTTTGAGTTCATTGTAGACAGGATTTTTTCATAAATCTCTCTTTGTTCTACTGTTAATTGTTGCTCAAATCTGTATCTCTTAGAAATGTACAACTCAATATCAAAACTTAATCCTTCCATCATCAAGTTGTTGACGTTATCATAGTTAATACTACATTCAGGCTTTGGCATCATTAGGAAATCATCAAGTGACCTTCCATTTTGCATTAACATTTATTAATCTCTGTAAGAGAAGCATTTTCCCTATCTTTGTCTAAAAAAATATTACCTGCAATAGAGATAAGGTCAACTGTGAAAAATAGAAACTAATTTGCATGTGGTTATAAGAAAACAAACAACAATATCAATATGCATGGAAATATAAGTTATTTCATTAAAAAGACACATACCAGAAGTATGCTGGTCTGCATGTGGACTATAAAAAATATCTTCACAAATTAGACTTGATACTTCACTCTAAACATGTTTAGGCTGGCTAAGACAGTTATTCATTAACATGATTGAAAAGAATCTTCTAAGGTATAAGCCAGATGCCCAAACGGAAGCCTCTTTAATGGCATCTATATACTCTTGATCATCATTTAAAAGTCCTAGAGCATAGCATGCTGATCTAAAAGTTAAAAAGACAACATTATTAATAGTCCTCAACTCTTCATATGACTTCAGACCCTTTCCTTAGTTAATAGACATTTCAGATAGTAACTTTCTCCCTGAGAAGGGAATGCATGTGCAATTCTTCCAATTGAGAACCCTTTCTTACGTGATTTCTAGATCTTAGTTTTCTTGTCAAAAACATAATGAGTAGGAAATTCTGCATATGTGAGAGTTCTTGCAACATCATCTTTTTCATCAACATTCTTTTCCATCCAAGCTGTAAACATGGATTCTTTTACAGTAGCTCTATCCATCAAGCTTGACACATTATCTTTTGCTTTGTATATTATTGATTGTCTATTAGGAAGATGGTAGCTTAATCTTTCAACTAATGGAAACCTATGATGGATATCAAATCCAAAAATCCTCCAAGAACCTTCACATATAGATATATATCTGCAATTTAAATAATTTGCAATCTCATTAAAAACCATCTCAGAATTGCTATCGTTATTATTATTGTACAATCCTGCTATAACCTTGTCATCCCCCTTGCTAACATACTTGAAAAATACTTTATTGATGTAGACTGATTGGTCTTCTCAACATTTATATAGGCTTAAAACAGAAGCAATAACCTAGGATTGTAAGGTACAATAAAATGATTGTCTAAAACTACCCCTTTCTTAATGATCCTCCTTCCATCATTCCTCCTACGATAAGTTGGATAACCTTTCTCATCAATAACAGTTTCATCAACAAATTTTTTAGGAAAGTATTTTATACATTTACCATCTTTCATACATGTAGATGTTGGATTTGATAGACCACATGGTCCATGAGTCATGTAGTTGCATACTAATTCATATAACATTAGATCTTGATCCTTATCTAGAATTTCTATTGAGATTAGTTTGTCTACCTCTTCAGGATTCTTTAATTTGTCCTTATCTTCCAAAAATAGAATGATGTGAGCATATGGTAGTCCACACTTTTGAAACTCAATTGTATAAACCTTTGTATCATTTAAAAATAAATGGGGATGAAATTAAAATCAAATGATTACCATAGTAAAAAAATAATGAGACAAAACATTAAGTTTCCTAATAAGTTAAGATAGTTCAACTACCTGTTTTGACAGAACTAAAAATCTTTTCGTCCTTGATAACCTTCATTAGTTTGTTCAATTTGAATTGGAAGATTCTGCTCAACAAATCTGGACGATCACTTGGCGATAAATTCTCCTTCTCACAATATCTTTTAATTTCTGGCCATGCTAGATTACAAGTAAATGTGATGAAAATATCTAGATATCCAGCCTACCTACATATTGCCATTGTATCATGATAGTTGTTTATCATGTATCTAGCTCCTCCTGTAAAAGAGGAGGGAAGAATAATTCTTTTACCAGTTACAGCGGCTGCAGTTTCCCCTCTAATTAGTGCATCTGAAAGACCTTGATACAAGTTAACCCTTAATTCATGTTGATGCATACGAATAAAATCTAAACGTTAACTCTCCATCATAGCATATCCATCAACTATAAACTATTGTAAGAGCTTCCCACCATGAAGTAGCAGTGAAATTTCATTGTCTCTATCCATTAGTCTATAGCACAAATACTCTCTTATTGAGAGAGTCTTTTTCTTTGAAGTGTTTGCTAGGCTTTCTTCACTATGTTGAACGTGAGGATTATAGCCATTATCTCTAAAAGGAAACAGTAAAGGGTATTGTAAAGGGAGATAGGACTTATGAATCTCATCTATTCTTTTCAATTGCCCATGTTTTTCAACTATTATATCATATTCTTGTAGTTCTCATTAAAGTCTCCAACTACAAGAGCTGCAACTTCTGAAGAAACTGGCAATGAGTAATTCCTTGCTTGTATATTATCTTGTCTTATCAATGCTATTTTAACTTCAACTTCAGGAAAATCTTTCAATACATCTCTTGCCATTTTGTACTTCTTAACCAAAGCATTTTTTGAATCCAAAATCTGTTTGATGTAAGAAACTATGAATGGATCGAGTTTATCCTGTCTTCAATTTTTACTACAGGAAACAATGCATTTGATTAAGAAGAGTTTGTAAGTTAAAGAGATTAATGAGTAAGAAATAATTGTATAACATAATACCTCACAGCATTGATTCTATTTGTAATTTCATTATCTATATCATAGATATACAGCTGTGAATAAGCTAGAGGAGCACCAAGTAAGGTACAAGACTTCCTAGACGGTGGTAATTTTGGCCAGTAAGAACAAAAGTGTAAGGTCCTCTACCATTATTTAAACCATGATTAATCTGACCCCTATTGAAGTGAAACAAAACATATTGTTATATAATCTGATATTCTTATGAAAGGATTTGAAATATGGAAAATCTTTGTCAAACTAAAGCTTCTGTAGCTCCATTGGTAGGTCTTTAAAGTTTTGAACTTGAACTTTACCATGACAGTAGCACATTGAAAAGATAGAATTGGATTTAGTTTATGCATACTTTAGTCGCTTAGGAAACACATTTTTGCTTTACAATGTTCACATTAATATGTAGCATCTCCATCATCCAAGTACACTAACACAAGTGGAAATTGGATTAGTGAGACAGAAATCATCTTTAAAATAACCTACGTAATTATGACAATCTATAATGGGTAAAAATTGAATATATAATTACCTGAAATTTGATTTGTGTGAGGGTCAGGATTTTGTTCATACAATTCTTCAATAATAGTAATGTCTTTGGTAACTGCAAAAGAATTCACTATCAAAATGGAATTGATAAGAATACTAAAAATATTATAGCATTGTTTAACATCCTTTATTATATTTATCAAGGATAAATATCATTTGCTTGGATATTAAAGTATGCAAAAGAAAAGAAATAAACGAAATTCAAACCTGGTAAGTAGGCAGAATTGAAACTTTCATTAAGATTAGTTGAAATAGCTCTAACCGGGTATGGAATATGTGCTTTGGAGTTATACGTGGATTGCAATTTTGAGTAATGATAGTATTTTTACAGATGACATGGTTCTGAACAATAGGATTTGAATTCTCTTTATGTGGATATGAAGTAATTGGATAATGGAAAGTATTAGGATTAATGTGTTTTAATTTGAAGGAAGAACCTGCTGAATGTTGGAAATTTGATTTGCTCTTACTTGTATTGCAATCAGATTCTGTATGGACAAAGAAAAATACAAGATATATGATTAATATTGATATTGATATTAATTTCATGATTTGTAAAAATATCATTCCATATAAAATAGATATATGGACAGAATATTAACCTTATGTATCACTTTCAATGATGTTCTACTCATTGTTGGTGACAGAAAGTGGAAAGGGACAGTAGGATTATGGAATGATATTGTTGAGCCGATTGAACTTGCAAGTTGATTAACAAATGGATTTGATCTTATGACATTTGGAGCTTCCGCATATTGGTTCTTAGTAGACTGAGAATCTAAAAGACAAAGAAAACTTGTTAAGAACTTAGAATTAAAAAATATTTAGGCCATGGAATTAAGGACAATAATAATATTAGTTGAGGATGTTTTACCTTCATTAGCATCATTAAGTTGCTCATAAATAATTCTATGATCTAAAGATTTCATCAACCTAGCTGCTTTCCTCATTTGAATGACTGAGTTTCTACCTTTAACTTTCATTGGTTGTGCAGTAATTAAATACAAAAATATTTAATTTTATGTAATTAAAATTTAAACTTAACATCTAGTGGATTTAATCTTTATGCTATTGAGAAGTTATCAAGTAATTTATAAGAAAAATATTATCATCGTTGGTATCTCTTTAAATGGAGTTCTAATCAAATCTTTTGTCATTTCTTGAGTAGAAGCTGTATAAGGTGTCTAGAATGTCAGTGTTGAGGCAAATGGACTTGTAAATTGATTTTCTGCATAACCCTTCCTTATAGTGAGAGGCCCTGAAGAAGGCATAAACCATGACATGAATAAAAAATAATACAGTCATAAGGCTTGAAAAATAAGTATAACATCTATTTTTCAAATAGATATGTTACCATTGTCAGTAGCAATATTTGATGACTAACATTTGCTTTAACAGTTTTTGAAATAACCCCTACTTTCCTCTTTTGAAGGATTGACTCCATATTTGATTCACTCTCATCACTTTTATCTACTGAAGGCAAAAATTGAAGAATATGGATGTAATTAATACATCTTATAGTTTAAAGATATCATATATTACTATCTGAATGAACTATAGTTGAAAACTTAAATTTTTACTGTGAGAAAGTTTGTACACATCATTCATATCAACACATGCTGATGACAACCTAACTGCTCTCTTGGATGGATTTACAGACTTTCCATAAACTTTATATCAGATAAAATAATGAAATTCATTCAGTCAAGGAAGAGATAAAAAATAATCATCATGATATTATGATAGTAGACTAAATATAATACTAAATTATAAGTTTCAAAGTGAAGCATAAATCTGAATGAAAGTATATAAGGAAACAGAGGAGACAAAAGAGAAGGGATAAAAACCACTTAAATTGTTCCATTCTTGTTTGCTACTATTGTGAGAAGAAGGAAGAATATGAGATTTGATCAAGAGAAGA